CTGTGAATTTCAGTTCTGCCTGAAGAATATCTCTCCCGTAGACCTTTCAACTCAAGATGTACACAACAGACATCATCTTCCTTCTAGATCAGGGGTTTGGAAACTTTTTTTTTTATTCTGGACCACTTAAGGAGGGAGACACATTAGTGAGATATAAGGGGAGGTTGGTTCTAGACCCTTACTAGCTTGTTTTGTCTTTATATTCCTAGTCTTTAGTAAACAGTAGGTACTTAATAAGTACTTGTTGATTTGACTGGCTTGGCTTAACTATTCTTGCCAACAATAAAACCGTAACTGGGAATTTTTGCACCTGGGTCAAGAAACAGGAAAGACAGTCTCACTTAAGAGGTGGAGGGAGAGGAGACCTCGGCACACCATCATGAGGAGAATGGAGGGGAGGGCTCACCATTACTGATCACCAGATTGCCTTTTCTTTTCTTTTGGTGACACCATTCACCTTCTTCTTACTTCTGTGAATGTTCTTTTTCAGTCTCCTTTCCTGGAGCATCCTGCCCCTTACCTGTGAGTCACTCCTAGGCCCCTTCTTCTTCTCTCCTAGGCAGCAATATGCTCTCCCTTTGTGATCTCATTAGTTCCCATGGATTTGATTATCATCCTTATGCAGATGGCTCCCAATTCTGTATGTACAGTCCTAATCTGTCTTAGGAATTTAAGTTCTGCCCAAAGGATACCTCCACCTGGATTCCCCATAGGCCTTTCAACTCAGGATGTACACAACAGATCTCATCACTTTCTCTCTAGATCAGGGGTTTGGAAACTTTTTTTTGCATCCTGAACCACTTAGGCAATCTGGGGAAGTCAATGGATGCTGTCTCAGAATCATGTTTGTTGCCTACATTCATAATGGAAGGAAATGCTAAATTTCAGATCAAAATGAGTAAAAATGAAGATGTAATTTATTCCCCTCTCCAAGTTCACAGGATCCATCCAGGAACCTCAAGTTGAGAACCATATTCTAGATACACACCTCCTCCATACTTCCTTGTTTCTATTAAGGGCAACACCATCTTCAAGTCACCCAAGTTCACAACCTCAGTCATCCTCCACTCTTCATTTTCCTTCACCCACTCACATCTAAGCAGTTGGCAGATCTTGCTGACTTCCATAACATTTCTCACTTTACTCACATCACAATCACCCCGCTTCAGACTTCATCATCTCTCACCAAGACTATTACTATAGCTTCTTCATTGGCCTCCCTGCCTCCATTTCTTCCCTCTCCAATTCATCTTCCACACAGCTGTCAAATAATCTCCCTAAGGCACAGGTGTGATGTATCACTCCCCTGCTCAAGAAACTTCCTTGGCTCCTTATTGCCTCTAGGATAAATTACAAACTCCTCAGTTTGGTCTTTAAAGGCTTTCACAATCTGGCTCTAATCTGCTTCAATAAACAGTTGGGATTACTCCCCTTCCCCCATCTACATTCCAGTCAAACTGGACTAACCACTATTCCCATAACTTGGAATTCCAACTTGTCTCAGCGGTGCCTTTGCATAAGCTGTTCCCTCATGCCTAGAATTCACTTCCTCCTCTCCTCTGCTTCTAAGAATCCCTATTTTCCTCCAGGACTCAGCCCCTGTGCTATCTGCTGCTGCAAGAAGACTTTCCCAATCCCCCTGCTTGTCACTGTTCCCTCCCTCCCTCCAGCAACCAAAATTTCTATAGCACTAGCTCGGGCAGGTGTCCAAAGCACTTTGTATATGCTATTTCATTTTATCCTTGTAACAACCCTATGAGGTAAATGCTATCCCCATTTTACAGTTGAGGAAACTGAAGTAGGCAGGTTGAGTGGTCACACAGCTAGTAAGTTGCAAGGAAGAATTAGAACTCAGGTTCTGACTCCCGAGTCTAACACTCTATCCCCTAGACCACCCAGCTACCTACATAACCATGTAACCTTCAATAACTATGTATCTACTTATCTAGCTGACATGTTGTATCCTCCCAGTAAACGAATAGTAAGTTTCTTAAAGACAAGGATTATTCTTTCTTTTGTTTTTGTATCCCCAGTGCCTAGAATGTAATAGGTGCTTAGTAAATGCTGGTGGTTGATTTAGCTGGCGTGGCTTGCCTAGCCATTCTTGCCAACGAAGTCTGGCTAGACCATGTCCCTGCCTGTCTGGACCAAGGATACATGCATCAGCATCCTTCTCCGTCCTCAGCCGCTCAATTAGGATGTATCATCCTGCCCATCTGGCTGTGAAATGTGTCCAAGCTCCTGTATGGAACAACTCCATGGCTCTGGGAATGGTTTGCAAAATTCGGTTTTCTTTTTTCCAGGCTGCTCTAGAGTCGAAAAGCTGAATGAGCCGGCTTTGGTGAAGTCAAGACAAACTTAGACACTACTACTGGCACCCCTCTACTACCCCCTTCACCTGATGAATTCCTGCTTGGCCATTAAAGCCCAATAGAAATGGCCCCTCCTCTAGAAAACCTTACTTGATGTCTCCAAACGGTGATGACCTTTCCTACTTGAGATGCTTTTTGAGTCCCTCTCAGTGGATCATAGAAAGATGAGATTCGAAGCCAGAGAACCTAGGTTTGAACCCTGGCTTTGCCATCTGTACCCTGGGTAGCCTGGGGCACAGTTTCCTCACTCGGATAATGACTGGGCTAGACTTGATGGCCTGGGAGACCCCATCGAGCTCTAAAGGCAGATTGTGTGGATGGCTCAAGAGAGGACCTTTATCAGAAAGCCGACCAATAGTGTATGAATCTTTGTGTCACAGTGACGCCTTACGCCAACTACCAAACTGTAGAGAGTGTGGGTAGAAAGAGCCCCATGCCTCTGAGGCCATGGTTCCAGCAGTCTCAAGGTCAAAGTTCTTAAAAATGACTGTTTGTTGAATGGTCTTTGATGGCTCAACTGTAAAGAAAAGCCTGGTCTGTGATTACAGGCAGCTAGGTGGTGCACTGGCCTGGAGTCAGGAAGACCTGAGTCCAAACCTGGCCTCAGACCTTTACTAGCTGTGTGACCATGGGCAAATAACCTCACATCTGTTTACCTCAGTTTCCTCAATTGTAAAATGGGGCTAATAGTAGCCCCTACCTCCCAGGGTGTTTGTGAGGCTCAAGTGAGATAAGTGTTGAAAAGTGCCTGATACATAATATGTGCTACATAAATACTATTATTATTAATTTCTCATGATGGTCATCATGTCTAGGAAGGGTTTTTTATTGCATTATTACTAGAGTGTTTTCATTTCCACTGAGAAATGAAAAAGGAGAGAATTACAGGCACCCTTAGAAACAAAAGGCAGAGGGAGGATCTTTAAAGATCCCCTTCTTAATTAAATTCAAGCATTTGAAGGGCCATCCTGTGGAGAAAAGGCATTGGCTACTCCACCCCAGAGCTTCCATAGGGTGGAAGAGGCCAGGATGGAAATTTCAGGCTGATCTTAGGAGAAACTTCCTGACAATAAGAGCCCTCCAAAAGGGCAATGGGTACTTTGTGACCTAGGGGGTTCAATTCCACTCAATTCTAGTCAAGTCAATTAAAAATAATTTATTAAGTGCCTCTGTGCTGGTGTCCCTTTATTAAAAGCCTTCCTACAAAGGCTGAATGGTCACTTTTTGTTTGTTTTGTGAGGCAATCAGGGTTAAGTGACTTGCCCAGGGTCACACAGCTGGTAAGTGTCAAGTATCTGAGGTCAGATTTGAACTCAGGTCCTCCTGACTCCAGGGCCATTAGCTCAATTCACTGTGCCACCTAGCTGTCCCTTGAATAATCACTTGTTGAAGAGATAAGAGATAGAGGACATTCTTATTCAAGTCTGAATTTCACTAGATGGTCATAAAGGTCCCTTCCAACCAAGAAAGTTGGTGATTGGGGGAGGTTTTTGTCTTCCGTGGAGTAACTTTTACTGGCTCTAGGCATACTCTTGACACTTATTACAGACAATGTTTTAAGCACACTCTCTTAAGAAGACTACTCAAAATGGACAAGTAATTTTTTAAAACAATTCTTGGTCTGGGAGCAGAGACTGCAGGCAACATCACTCTGGTTTTATAGTAATTTTGCTTTAATAGGTAACATCAAGCATGTACTAATATCCAGGGAAGCAGATGAAGCAATATTAGATTCAGAAAAAAGCACAGACCCGTCCATTCTGAATCTTATCAGGATGAGAGTGATTTAGGGTTCCAGGAAAATAATGGCTGAGCCCTAGTAACCAATTAAACAAGGGACAATAGTGGGGAGCTCCATGCTAAGCAACCAACCCCAAAAAGACATTGAGAAATTTACAAGGCATCTGTTACTTTTCAATTTTCCCATAAAGGAAATCTGAACTTGCATGCATTCATTCTCTGAGGGAATCACAGCTCCAAGAATGGAGGAGGGAATTCAGAAACTAACAGCATCTCCCTAACACTTTGCTTTCTCTGTGTGTGTGTGTGTGTGTAAATTTTAAAGCCAGGTTCTTTTTTTTCCCTTTAAATCAGTCTTGTGAACTTCGGGCAACTCAGTTGGTCTAGACTAGGGGTGTCAAATGTGCTGATGGTCTAAGATGTGCCCAGCAACACTCCCCAGTGTGGTCGGAACTATGTGAAACTGTAGTTAGGAAATATTTAACACAATAAATAAAAATACAATAAAACACAGTTAATTTGTGGCTTTCTGTGTCAATGGGTAGCCCACAGGGATCCTCATGTATAACTTACTGGCCCTGTTTCTAGTTGAGTTTGACAGCTCTGCTCTGCGCAGACAGGGCTCCATGATTTCATGATATAAAGGTCTGGTCTCTTATACACAGAGGAAACACTCAGAGGTCATTGCAGCAGATACAGTGAAAAGCACACTGGACCTACACACTGCCGAAGTACTCTGTATGAACTCTACCCCTACTTCTTTACTGGCTGTGATGCTGAACAAGTGATTTTGCTTCTGTGAGCCTCAGTTTCTTCATCTGTAAAATGGGAGTAGGGTGTGGTGGGTGTGATGATTTCTTAGCTCTCTTCCAGCTCTACCATTCTATATTCAATTTAAGAAAACTTTATTAAACACATCTATGTGCAAAGCACTGAAGGGTTCAAAGAAAAAAAAATCAGTTCCTACCCTCCAAGAGATTATATTTTAATGGGGGAAATAGAACATTTATCATAGATAAGGGAATACAAAATTTTTTGAGGAAAGAGAGAAGACTGGAGGGATTCCTAGAGGTAGAGGTGGAGATATACATTAAAAAGAGGGAATGCATTCCAGGTGTGGGGACAGCTGTGCAAAGGCATGGAGACAAGATGTTTTATGTGTGAGCAAACAAGAGGGGATGGTGATTGCATTCATGTATAAATGTACATTTGGTTAAGATTTGTAATGAAGAAAAAGAGATACAGACTGAAGCTCTTCCAGAAGGTGTGCATTTTCCACAAAGCACTTTGTCCGGGAGTTCGTTGTTTCTTATCTAGAATCCCCAGAAGATGTCTGGTCAGCCTTCAGCGTGGGGGTGTGCTTCGGTGTTTAGATGAGCAGTTCTTCCTCTGTTAGTTCTTGTTCCACATTCTCACCTTCCGAGGGGCTGAAATTGTAGAAATCCTCCTCGTCTATTGGCTCGGTTTCCATCTCAGGTAAGGAGCCACTGCCAGAGCCTGAGCCCGAGCCAGAGGCAGAGCCAGAGATGGACCAAGGATCTTCCTTGGAGAAAAGGGACTCTTCAGCCGTGTCCTGGGGTCTCTTCATTCTAAAGAAGAATAGAAATGAAAGTCAGGCTTTCCATACCACGAAGGACACCGGGCAAGGCTGTTTGTTCAAGACCAACAACGGAACAGGGAGGAAGCTGGTTCTTTGCATTATTATTTGAGGCTAAAACCTAGACTACCAATGGAGTTGCTCTGCTCCTCAGGATCACAGTATTTCAAAGGGAAAAGGCCTCAGGTAGCCTCTGGTCGAAACCACGACTGAATAAAAATCTTTACAACAGAATATGATGTTACTTCACAAACAGGCTGCCTTGGGGGTGGGTAGCAGACTGTTTTTGACCACACGTCCAATGTAATACAACAATCCATCCATCAGTCAACGTGCATTAAGCAGTTAGTGCCAGACGTTGCTAGACACTGGGGCTACAAATACAGAAGGGGAATAGTTATTGCCCTCGAGGAGCTTACAATCTAGTTGGAGGAGAAGTGTGTATATGTATGTATATATATGTATGTGTGTGTGTGGATAGATAGATGATAAAGATATAGATAGAGAGATGATAGATATAGATGGATAGATGGATAGATCAATAGAAAAATGGATGGATGGATAGATGGATGGATGGATAGATAGAGAAAGATGGATGGATAGATAGAAAGATGGATGGATAGGTAAACTGACAGATAATGAGTAGATAGATAGATAGATAGATAGATATGAAAATGGAGGCCATTCACCAAGAACTCCCTTCTCTCCCCTAGTCATCTCACACCCTTCAGATGCCTTCTGCCACTCTGTCCTCCTTCACTTTGGTCTCTTTGCCAAGGCAAACCTTTCTACATTCATTCACCCTTGATCCCATTCTATCCTGTCTTCTCCAGCAGGTTGTTCCCTCTATCATCCCTACTCTCTCATCCTCAATTTCTCCGTTTTGCCTGCATTCCAACTGCCTACAAATACATCTATTTCTCTTCCACCCTTAAAAAAAATCCTCACTATATTCGTCCATCTCCAGTAGCTATCAGCTTTCATCTGCCCTCCCCAAACTCCTTGAGAAGGCTGTCTACACCCCACACTTCCACTTCCTTTCCTCTTTTTCTTCTCAATTCTCTGCAGTCTGGCTTCATTCAGCTCTCTGAAAAGTTACCAATGATCTCTTATTCTTCTTGACCTTCCAGTAGCCTTTGACTCTGTTGATCACCCCTCCCCTTGATATTCTCATTTTTCTAGGATTTCATGACACTGCTCTCTCCTGGTTTTCCTCCTCCCTGTCTGACTTCTCCTTCTCAGTCTCCTCGGCTGGATCTTTATTTGAAACACACCCACTTACTGGAAGTGTCCCCTCTGCCTCGGACCCTTTTCTCTTCTCTCTTTATCCAGGGATTCTTAATCTAGGATCTAAATAATCTAGGTTGTTTTCTAAAGTATTTTTGATAAATACATTTCAATATAATCAGTTTTCTTCATAATTCTATGCATTTTATTTTATACATTTAAAATATTTTGAGAAAGGGGCCATGGCTTGCACCAGACTGACAAAGGGGTCCATGACACACACAAAAAAAGGTTAAGAGCCCCTGAGTTAGACAGCTTTCTGGAGATACCAAGAGGTTAAGTAACCACTCCAGCGTCACACAGCCAGTAGTTGTGGAGTGGTCCTGAGTCCACCCTTTTATTTACTATACCAACTACTGCCTGCCTCTCTCTCTCTCTCTCTCTCTCTCTCTCTTTCCCTCCATGCATACACACATATATACATACTTACATACACACATATACAATACACAATATGCACATACCACATACATAGACACATACATATACACACATACACATGTACATACATGCATACAGCCAAACAGATATTTCTGTCTGGACCTGTAATTTCATCAGTGAGGGGAACTCTCAGGTGTGAAAATTCTCTCTGCTGATGCAGAATAGCAACTGATCTGTAGATCACATTGTAGTCTTAGGAAGTTGTCTGGGCACACTGAGAGGTCATGTAACTTGTCTGTGTTCACACTGCTAGTGCAAGTTAGTGCTAGGACTTGAGCCTAGGTCTTCCTGAAAGTAAGGTGAGTCCTCTACCTACTATACCAGGCTACCTCTCCATATAGACAAAAGTACTGTAAATAGCTTGGAGTATATCTGTAAAATGGAGGTACTGGTAGTGGGAGTACTTGCCTCACAGGATTGTGGGCAAAGCATTCTGTGAATTGTCAACTACCAGAGAAATGGGAGCTGCTATTATTATTGTTGTTGTCTTTATTTTCCCTCCTACCCCTATTCCCAACTTTCCTAACTTCAGAATCACATGCCGTTCCAGGTACCTTCACTCCCCACTCCATTCACCCTCAACTTTTCAGCTCCCTTTTCTGAGCTGTCTTCCCCACTAGATTGTAAGCTCATTAAGGGCAGGCATTGTCTTGCTTTCTGCATGCATTTGTATTCCTAGCCTTAGCGCACTGCCTGGCACATAGTAAATGCATAATAAATGCTTGTTTCTCTTTTTCCCCTTCTATTATTGTTAGCATTGTTGTTGTCATTTTGTTCCTTATTTTGTTTATTGTTTTTGTTGATTGTTACAAAATTTGTAATAAAAAAAACTTAAATATTTTCTGAAACACAAAAAATTTGCCAGAACTTTACGGTCTACCTGTTGACTCCCTCTCTGTACAGCATCTAGAAGGAGGTAGCTTGATTTACTTACAGATTTGAATCCACTGGAGGATTGACGACCCCATTGTCTTCACCTTCAGGCATGTTGAACCACGGCCCCTTTTCTTCAAGGCAGTTGGCAGAAAGGCTATCTGGGCGACATCGAACCCAATGGAATCTTGCCCTCCGGGCAGGAAAACCTGAGCAAATAAAGTGTCCACGTTTAATTAGGGACATCAGAATGAATCCTGCAACTTCTCACCATCCTTGAGGTGATTTCTAGATTTCTTTCTTACCATCCATCTAATGGAATATTGTGCAGGTAGGTTTATATCATTTCACAGATGACTAAAATCAAGTACAAGGATATTAAAAGAAAATCATAGGGAGGTAACCTTAACCATTTCCATCTTTCCACGGATTTGTGATCTCATTAATGTGGGCACTCTCTTCAGTGTTGCAGATAGCAACCCATCCATGCCTGCCCATCCTTTGTGACTCCTGTCCATTCCCACAAGGGAATTTAACCACCTGGAGGCTTTCCTCTTTCATCCCTTAACATTGCATACCATTGGACATTGAATACCAAATGGACCATGTGTATTCACCAGGTATCCCTTGCTCTCACTATGAGACAGGTCCATCTAGTCATATCATTTCCATCATATTTAGAATGTAAACACTTTTAGAGCAGGGATTGTTTCATTCTCTGTCTGTATTTGTATCCCTTTTATCTCATCCAGTATCTAGGATACAATTGACTTTTAACAAATGCTCTCTCTCTCTCTCTCTCTCTCTCTCTCTCTCTCCCCACCCATCCAATCAGGGTTAAGTGACTTGCCCACAGTCACACAGTTATTAAGTATCTGACACCAAATTTGAACTCAAGTCCCCTCCAGACTCTGGGGCCAATGCTCTATCCACTGTGCTATCTAGCTGCCCCAACATCTCCTTTTTTAAAACAGGTTGTGTACAAACTCTATGTATACTGAAAACAAGCTAAACTGTTATCGTTGATGTTTTACAACTATATTTTACTGGAACAACTGGCAAATGACAGACAGTAGCTTTGTGGCAGAATTCTCTGCATGTTCAATAACTAATCTTGTTTTGTTTTTTTTTTAACATTGCGACTATGGCATAGTTACAACTTGTGTTCATCACATTTAAAATTTGGATGGGTAAAGCGCCTTTAGTGTACTGTTTCTTTTTTGCTTTAACTTTTAAATCAGTTTGCTATAGACTTTATATGTATTTTGTTAAATACAGTTTCCAGTGACTTACTTACAGCTCTCATTTCCCAATTATAAGTGTTGAGGTCTCATTCTGAAAGTCCTCATTTAAAAGTCACACAACATATTTATGTGTCATTTTGAAAGCGTTCTCCTTTATAGTTAAAATTGTTTCATTTGCACATTTTTTTTCATTATTTGTGATCATGTTGTCTTTCAATACAGGCATAAAGCTTCCACTCTGTAACAAAACAGCTGCTTTTTAAAAGCAGTAATTGCTTCTTTATCTTTCGTTTCTTTGGTAAATGAAGCATTTCTTTAAGAAAGGTCACTTCAAAACATTGTCTTTTTTTTTTTTTTTTTTTTTTTTGGTGAGGCAATTGGTGTGAAGTGACTTGCCCAGAGTCACACAGCTAGTATTATGTGTCTGAGGCCATATTTGAACTCAGGTCCTCCTGACTCCAGGGCCAGTGCTCGTTCCACTGCGCCACCTAGCTGCCCAAAGTGTTGTCTATTATATAAAATAGCCAACACTCACTTGTGAAGATTGTTCTGATGCGTGGAAAGTGCAGATTTCTGTATGTTTTAATATGCATCATTAGATAATAAAGTCTTTTGTGAACAGAGGAAAAAATCAATGCTTAATGACAATGAGAACGCTAAGGCTGATGCAACTCAATTCCTCAGTCACTGCACAAGGAGCTCCCATACCTTTAAAACCTGTGATCCTTTGCGTCTCTGCCTCCTTTCTCCACCATCACGGCAGAATCAGAAGAAGGTGCACACGACCAACAGCCCTTTGGTGTTTTTATTGTTGTGGCAAGGGTTGCCATGACTAAAGTGTCTATCCACCAGAGGGCCAGCCTATTGGTGATGAACCTTACTCCACTCAGCTAGGCTGGTTCTCAGCACAGGAGCTCTGTCTGTTGCCAGCTCTAGGTGTCATGGCCCAGTCTGGCAGAACTTGCCCTCTGCTGGCATAGCCTTTGAGAGGGCAGGATCTTGAGACGTGACATCAGAGTAAAATGTGATGGGGTCTTTCTTTATCCTCTTAATACTAGTACTTCTCCCCTTACCCCAAATCATCTTGTATGGATTTTGTCTATTTCTAAATACGTACATGTTATCTCCCCCAACAGAATGGCAGTTCCTTAAGGCTTTTGGGTTTTGTCTTTGAAACCCTAGTACCTAACACATTTCCTGGCACATAGGAGGTTCTTAATCAATGCTGATTGACTGATTGATTACAGGGTGAAGTGACAGACCAGAGACATTATTTGAGCACTTACATCATGGGGGCATGGAAGTACATTTCCTTCTCCCCCCCACCCCACTTGTCCCCTTGAGCCTTACTCCTTCCTTCTGCACCCTCACTTTTTTAGGGTCTTCAACACAAGTCCTAAGGACCCTGGTAACCTATAGGAAGCCAAGAGAGCTGGGATAGAAAAGGGTAGATACTTAGTCTCCAACCTGTAGTATAGTGTCACAGGTAGGAATGCTTCTTAACTTGAATCCCAGGAAAAGTGGGTTGGCTTAACCACATGCCTTAAGGGAGTGGCCATGATTATCCTCCCAGGACTGGTGAACCCCTTCAGGGATCTTCCTGGAACTCACACCCATCACATTCTCCAGCAGAGGGAGACATCCATCGTCTTCCTCATCCTGTGCTTGTTTAGAAAAACCAGAGACAACGGTGGCGGGTATACAGCCCTAGCCGAAGCAATGTCGGTTATAACAGGAAGAGGAAAGGAAAGCCAATACCAACCTTTCCATGATGTAAACTTCACTGGGGGTATTTTTCATCAGGTAAGACAAAATATTGCCATTAACAAAAACTTTCTGGCTCATATTTCGCAACACAGTGCCTGAATGATTAAGAGCTGACATTTGCATAGAGCTTGAAAATTGTCCAAAGCCCTTAATATACATCTCATTGAAGCCTTCAGCATAAGTACTATTATCCCCAACAGATGAACACACAGGCTCAGAGAGGGTAGGCAAATTGTCTGGGACCACACAGCTAGTAAGTATGAAAAGGCAGAATTTGAACTCAGGTCCTCTTGATTCCAAATCCTGCACTCCATTCACTATCACATACTGCCTTAAAATGAAATGATCCAAGTAAATCATTTTGTAAATTTTTTTATTGATATCTTTTCTTTCTACATCAACTTTATTTTTTACAAAATATATTCCTAGGGCAGCTAGGTGGCACAGTGGATAGAACACCGGCCTTGGAATCAGGAGGACCTGAGTTCAAATGCGGCCTCAGACACATAACTCACTAGCTGTGTGACCCTGGGCAAGTCACTTAACCCCACTGCCTAGCCCCCCCCAAAAAATACATATATATATATATATATATATATTCCTTTTCCCTTACCTGGTGAGCTATCCCTGGTAACAAATAATAAAAAGGAGGGAAAAACCCAATATATCAAAACTAGCATATCAATTGAGTCTGACGGTGTATATAATGTTTCATACCCATAGTCCCTCGCCTCTGCAAAGAAAGAAGGAAGGTGCATTTTTTCATCTCTTTATCAGAGTCAAAGTAAATCTTCAGGTCATATTTATGAATGTCAATTATTATTATAAACAGTGAGGAGTAGGTGGAGGAAGTATCCAAGTGAAATAGGTACAGATAATTTCCAAGAACTCATCCTCCTCACCACCCCCAGAATTCAAATATCTCAGCTATGAGGAATCATAAAGAGAAAGGTGGAAACCACCTACTCATATGAGAGTGATTGCCTAATGGGAAGCCTGACACTTTGCTTTAGAATAAGGAATCTATTTTCCCCCTAAGTCTACTAGATGGTAGAATTCCTTCCCAAATAGATTGAAATTAACAGGCACGACACTGAAGATGTCTGTGTTGGGGGGGTGGGGCTTGAGGAGAGGAGAGGGATTGAACAAAGGCTTCTTTCCCCTAAGTGTGGGAGTAGCCTCATTCCATCCTGCCCTGGCTGAGAAAGGCTCCTGGTTCTGGACATCATCCAAGAAACTGAGGAAAATGTCCTGGACTATTTGTTTTAGTGTCTGGACATTACACCTTCCTAAGGAGTATCACTTAGAGGTCTCAGGGGCCCAGTTGGGTTTGAAGTTGCACTGAGAGGGTGAGGGGAAAGGGGAAAGTAAACATGACTAGAGAGTAAACTGGAGGGCAAGGGATGAGTCTTACTAAATTCTGCAAACATTAATAAAACACTTCCTATGTTCAAGGTCCTGAACTATTAGCTGGGGATAAAAAGAAAAAAAAAACCAATTCCTGTCCTCAAGGAGTTCTCATTTTTCTGAGAGGGTACATATACATTACACAGTATAAGGGATTACAAAATATATACAAAGTAACACAAGGTAATCTCAAGAGAGAAAGAGAGAGTACAATTTGGAGCCTATGGAAATGGTTGGAGTAGGAGTTTAGCCATGCTATTAAAAGAAGTGGTTAGTTTCATGTATAAAGCAAGTAGATCAGGGGAGACTCAGGGAACTTCTCCAACTTACCAGGGACTCTCCAGATGCTTAAAAAAAATCTAGCCGTTCCTTCCCAGTGACTCTTCTCACCTACCCCGTGTAACAAAGCTCAGCTAAGCAAAACAAATGACCACAGGGACCATGTCTCAAGACTGTAGGCTTCATTCCCACCACCTCTCGAGGAGGCAGGCTTCGGATTCAGTCTGCTGAAGTCTTTCTTATTACCTGGGCTTTGAAGGAAGCTAGGGAAATGGGGCAAAGGAGGAAGCAGCTTCCAGATATGAAGTGTCACTTGTACAAATGGAAGGAGGTGGAGATGAAATGTCACACACAGAGAAGATCTATTATTATTTTTGTTGCTGTTGTTAATAGATTTTTCAGGGGCTAAAGTAAGGCCTAAGTAGGTTCTCAAAGCATGGCTGAGAAACTGAATGAAAAGATTTAGGGGTTTTACTTTCAAAAAAGGGAATCCTGTTTTCCCCTCCTTTACT